TTATCGGCTTTTATGGAAATCCTTCCTTCTGCAGCCTTGTGACCCAAATACCAGCATAAGCAGTTTTAATTTTATTAGGTTTATACCCACCCTTGCAGCTCCTGCAATCCCTAGTTTGGGGCTCGCTGGTATAAACATTGCCTACGACCCATCAGGTAGTGCGTCATGTTAATATAAACAGCGCCTCGAGGTTTAACTAGGCCGTGCCAGCCACATCTAGTTAGCCCAGCTTTTACCATCTCTCCTGTCAAACGGCACGGTGACACTTGTTCCCCTTTGTGAGAGATTCTCTTGTAATGGCATCAACAAAATAAGTATCTAAAACTCAGGGGCTTTGAATACACAAGGGCTGTTTCTCCAGAAATCAGCATTAATGCCAATCCCTGACATAAGCCCCATAACACTGTCATATACATTATTCTGTAACATCCCTGGAGGTGTTCAAGGCCAGGTTGGACGGGGCTTGGAGCAACCTGGGCTGGTGGGAGGTGTTCCTGCCCAGGGCAGGGGGGTGGAATGAGATGATCTTTAAGGTCCCTTCCAACCTAAACCATTCTGTGATTCTATGGAGCGTGCGTTCCTTGGGCAGTGTTGGAGACACAAGGCCACTGATGAGCTGAAATGCAGAAAAGGCTGAGAGCAGTTGTTCAGGTGGGTCAGTACGTACCCAAACGGCTCCTGCCTTTGCTCAGAAATGACAACAGGCTGTTCCCCAGCTGTGTGCATTTCAGCTCCCCTAGAAATGCAGAGAAAATTAAATGAATTGGCCAAAATAATCTGAAGAAAACTATCAAGGAAGGATGGTTCTGAGCTTCTCTGGAGGCCTTAGCAACAGCTGAGGTGGTTAAAAGAGGGAGCAGCATCTCTTTTTCCCTTCTCCTGGAGAGAATGGAGGAGAGGACTGAGGGATACCTTCACCAAGGGCCACCCCAGAGCTGCAGAGCTGTGACTCAGCACAACCCCGAAGGGGATGGAAGGGCTAAAGCGAGGAGGAAAACACCAGCCAAGTGCTTTATACTGCAGCAGATCCCTGGGGTCCCACGTGAGTCGGCAGTGGTGGCACATTACCCATCACCATCCCAGTGCACTGAGTCACGCTGAGGCTCAGATGGCCCCAGAAGATGGATGGGGAGCTGAAAATCCCTCCCAGGCATGGTCCCCATGCCCAGTCAAACCAGTCACCGAGCACCCACTGTGGTCTTTTTACACATGCTATATTGCTTCGCACTCATGCTAACCCACCGTGAGTCTTTCGAGACGTTGGCCCTGGAGAAGGGCTGTCTCCCAGCCTCAGCCGCAGGATGCACACAAGGTAAAATAAAATACACAGTGCAGTCTAATATAATTTTAACTTCCAGGATTGCTTCCGTGTCCAGTTTAATCTGAAAATCGAGACTGGCACAGTTTAAATCTTCTTTTGCACAATGAAAAAGCTGTCACTCAAAATTCATGATTCCCTCTGCAGGATTTCCTGCGCGATAAACAAACAAGAGCTCGTCCTCCGCCGCTCCTCCTTCCTCTCTCCCCTTCTTCCTCGGGACACGGTTCAAACGGGCAGAGAATACAGCCATTATGAGACAAAACAGAGAGCCACAGGATGCAATAATTCGGGTTTTAATAGAGGTTTAAATTGGGAGTCTGATATAGAAGGGAAAGGAAGAGGCAGCCCAGAGGAAGGATCATTCCCCGGCACACCGGGGGTGGCCTTTTCGGGTCCCCTCTCCGCTCCCCAGCCCTGGGCTGATCTGTAGGTTTGGCACCATGTTTGCTCCAATGTGGGAAACAGGAGAATTTTGTGGAGCAGCCCTGCTCCTATTAAAACTGCATTGAATTAATTAGAAGTGAGGGATGCGTCTGGTTTATTTTTAGTTCAAAAAAACAGAGGCAGGAAATCTCCAACCTCACAAACACCATCCTGGACAGTCACCCCCATCACACGTTGGGTGGAATCCTTCCCCAGCAGGCTGACCTGCTCCATCTCACCCAAGAAACTCCTGTGTCAAACCTTTGACAACGGAGAACACGTCCTAGGAGCTGATAACAATTACAAACCATCATTTTGGCAGCCACCTTTGCCCAGCATTTGTTTTACAGCTCATCCGTTTCGATAAGCGTGTGCTCAGGGAGGCACGAGGCAGCAGCAAAAGGCAGCGGGTATCTCGGGGAGAAGGACACTTTCATTCGGTATTAGGCGAAAGTCAACACATTCCCAAGTTTCATATTCATCCCTGGGGAGGGGACCCAACAGGGCAGGATCGCCACCCTAAATCTGCTTGATCCTTTGTATGTTAAAATTGAAACCTGCGGATTAAGGGTGACAAATACAGGTCGGGGTGTCTTAACCTGTGTGGCAGAGGCGGGCGGCGCAGAAGCGCGCAGCGTGCTCCCCAGCTGGGATTGCCAAATCAGGCCATAAGTGTCTCCAATGCACTTAGCTATGTGTTTAATAGAGTTTTAATTGCAGAGTGATTGCATGTGATATTGCAGAATTACCACAGATTACCTAATTGACTATTCGTTTGCTGAACTCAAGCAGATATTTCTCTCAATATGTGTTTTTGCTGCTATCGATCCCTGCCTCCATATTATTTGGCAGAGCATTGTCTGTGCAACAGAAGCAGAGATCCTTTACAGGGGGGAAACTACTTTCAGTTAATGTGTTGGTAAATTTAACAGGCAGATGTGCGAGACTCCTAAAATCGGCTGCAGAAAGAATCCAGATCCTGCCGTTCTTAAAGAGCTGCGTGCAGGGGTAACACCTGGGGAGTGCCAGAGCACAGAGGTTTCTGCAAAAAATTGTGATGTGTACAAATGAACTTGTGTTGGGAGCCATGTGGGAAGCTGCTTTCACAGCCTGAAAATCCAGCTAATCCTGTACGGGCACCGGGAAAGCAGATGGACCGGAGCTGTGATCTTGGCTCGTTCCCGTTGGCCCGATGCTGATGGATGGAGGGGGAGAGGCTGGAGAGCATCGCTTCTCCTGTGGCCCTTGGGAGGGATCTCCTGGGGAGTCCTGGGTGGAGTGCTCCATGAAGGGCAAACCAAAGGTCCATCTGACAAAGAAGTTAATTTCTGGAGGTGGCCAAAAGCAGGTGCCCAGAAATGTGAGAGTAAGGCGGGCAGCCAGCGCTCCCTTCGAGCTTCCCGGTGGACCTCCCCACTTCTCCTCTGCCATGTGTCACTCAGCGGCTGTCCCCGTCAAAGTCCCAGCAAAGCTCCTCGGGGTAGGATCAGGCGTAGGTCAAATTCATTCACTTGATGGCGTCTGAAGAGCTGCAGGCCGTCTGGTGATGAATTACATCTGCAATCACAATGGCCATATAGCAGCCAAAAATATTCAGATTGAAATAATGAATTCACTTGGACAAGAGAATGAAAACAGACCCTGTGGCCTTCTTTCCAAAGCGTGTCCCTTCAGTTGCCGAAAACTTTATTGAATAAATGGCTTTAGCAGCGTTCCTGGAAGATGCTGTCGTACACCACCATGCAGACTGATGCTAAAAGAATATAACCGTCTCCATTGTTACTTTTGTGTTTAACAAGAGAGATAGCACATGGAGTTGAAGTGAGGCTGCGAGTACGGAGCTGGACACCAGGAGTTACTTAATTTCTGTACAAATCAGGCAGTGACTCCGCTAGCGGTGACACCCACAAAAGTAGGGCGCAGATGCTTCCCCCCCGCTCCGCTACTGACTCCTCCCCTGTGCCTCTTGGCCGAGTAACGGTGATGGGGAGATGCAGCCACAGCCAGACTTGCTCCTCCTGGACCGCATTTTTTGAGGGAAATACATCTTCTGAATATCTCCTCTGTGAGCTACGGCGTCGTCCCTGTGGGATGATGGGATCTGGGTTTGGGACATATCCACATAAATATTTTCAATCCCAAAGCAGAAGGAAAAGCAGCCTTTGGCTCCCGGTGCCAAATCCGCATTGCACTGGCGGTGCGTAGCTCTGTAAGAGAGCTCTGCTGCTTCCGAGCCCTTCACAGGTCACAAAAAGGACAAGAGTGATGCGGCCCTTATTCTCTGTAGAGCAAATTTGGGATAAAAAATTAACATAATTATTTTATTTAGCCTTGATTTTCTTCTTGTCTTTTATTGTGTTATGTTTTAACTGAGATTTCTTTAGTTCCTGCTAGGATTCTGCCAGAATCCTGCCATTTCATACAGAGGTTGAAATGCATATTATAAAAGGAAACAAATCTTTCCCTTGATTGCCTGATAAATCTATTTTTTAATCTAGGTTGACAAATGCACTCTACCATCAGCACTTTTCTCCTTCAGAGTTGTTGCATTTTATTTTCCACTATTCTCTGTCCCTCAGCTATAAGCTGGAAAGGAAAAAAAAAAACCCAACCTATCACCTTTTCTCTGCTTACCCTTTAATTAATCATTTTTATTATGGCAACGTCCAGGCCCAAACCTCTTGCAGTCACTGGCTCGGGTATTGCCCAGATGTAGAACAAAAGGAGAAGCCCTGCCCCTGGGACGCGGCTCCTGAGGCTGTTTAATGGTCCTCAGCTCCGCGGGGACTGCGGCCAGTGGCTCCGCACAACGAACTAATGGGATTACAGTGTTCCTGGCTGCCTGTCTACCTGGATGAAAAACACACACTAACGGTCTCTGCGAGTACTTTGGACAACATACCCGGTGCCCCAAGGGCATGAAACGCAAGGGCAGATGCAAATGCAGTTGCGTTTAAGCCAGTGTCTGAACGAGGCACCAGCAGTCCTTTATCTGTATCGTACCGTCTTTTCTTCATCACGTCGCTGCCCTCACGCTTATTGCTATTTTCTGTTATTCCTGTTACGCTTGTTTTTACTGATGTTTACAGTGTGGTTGTCCCTCGGGGTTAATTCTTTGCACAACGGCAATAGAAGAACAAAGCGGTGCTTTAGGAAAAGTTTGCAGCCATAAACACCACACGGACAGGTCGCTTTTTCACCCCCCCCAGTGAAGAATTGCTCACGAAAAGTAATGGGCCTTTCTCATACCTTGCAGGTGCTGTGGTCATTGCCTTCGTGGTCTGTTGGCTCCCGTATCACATACGGCGTCTCATGTTCTGCTATGTCCCCTCCAGCCACTGGACAGAGTGAGTCAGGAGGTGGGGGACGAGGTGTCCCCGTGTCGGGACGGGGCGCGGGGTCAGCCTGGGGCTGCTGGGGCACCAGCAAGCTTGGGGATGGAGGTGGGGATGTGGGAGCACAGGCGTTCTCCACGAAAGGGGTTAAAGCCTCAACCTCCTAATTGGTGTTTTGGGTTTTCTTTCGGATTAGTTCAAGGTCTCCAGGGAGACCTTATTTCAGCCTTCCAGTCCCTAAAGGACTGGAGACAGGAGAGCTGGGGAGGGACTTTTTACAAGGGCATGGAGTGATAGCATGAGAGGGAATGGCTTCAAACTGGAAGAGGGGAGATTGAGATGAGATCTGAGGAAGAAATGTTCCCCTGTGAGGGTGGTGATCCCCTGGGGCAGGTTGCCCTGAGAAGCTGTGGCTGCCCCATCCCTGGAGGTGTTCAAAGCCAGGTTGGACGGGGCTTGGAGCAACCTGGGCTGGTGGGAGGTGTCCCTGTCCAGGGCAGGGGGGTGGGACTGGGTGATCTTCAAGGTCCCTTCCAACCCAAACCATTCTATGATTCTATGATTTCTTACCATGTTTGCCAGCCAAATTAAAAGTTTTAGTTTTATCATCTAAATCCCCCAGATGTGGGTGAAGACAGCATTAGCTTGAACCGAGATGCATCAGCATGTCCTTCCTTCTTCTGTGACTGCAACCAGTCTCGCCCCCATTAACAACGGCGATGGATATTCACCTCTGACAGTCCTTGATGAAACGACATTTGGACAGGGAGAGGGTGATACATCCGAAGTGGATTGCTGTCTCCGTGGCGGAGATATTGATCACCGGCTCTAAGATGGAGCAGCTCCTGTCAACACACAATTTAGCTCCACAGCACCACATTTCCTTAGTGACAGGGGAGATTACACAGGTGGGGAAATAACTGTGCTGCTTGCTGAGCCTGGGGCAAGAGATTTACTGGGGTTTGCAGGGAGTGGACCAAAATTAAATACTAGCAGTTGCCACTGATTAGCAAATGTCCAGATTCTCAGAGAATTTAGGGATAATTGCACACCTACTCTGAATGCACATGTGCCATTCACAGATGTGCAAGGGCACACAAACTGCTCCGTGCGACCTTTCTGCTGCGTCAGGCCAGGTTCCTCTGCAAAGCAGTCGCAGAAGTCATTATTCATTTTAGATATGCAGTTAAGCATTAATGCTGTCTGGGGATATCCACCCAGCTAGCCTGGGACACGCTCAGGGCAAAAGGTGTCTTTCCTCCCATGGTGTTACATCCCTGTTCTCTCTGGGACCGGGTCTGTTTCCTGCAATGAACAGGAAAAGAAAAAAAGAAAATCTACAATACCAAAAAGTAGAGCAACTATAAGACATTAAAATTTCATAAACTCCCAGCACAATAAAAATAGTCATTTACGATATTGCAGTCTCCTGAATGGAATTGCACATCCATCCGTAGTAAAAACCAAAACCTATCTTCAATCGTGAAAACAGAGCTCTAGGCACACACTGGGACAAACTGTTGTTTCTTGTTTGCTTTCCTATATAAAAAGCACTTAAAGCAGCAATCATTTATGTAACGACTGCGTTTGCTTTGAGCAAGAGGGGTAGAGAAGTCTGTCTGCAGTTAGTGTGAATTTATGCATCGTGGTTGCATTCACATGTTATTTTTTTTTTCTTCTTTTAAAAGCCATGAGCGATTTTAGGAAAGCATTGAATTTACAGGCATATTGTGAATGGTGAACTATCAGTACGGTAGCTAATCGAGAGCTTGCAGCAGCTTGATGTGTTCATTTATAAAGGCATGTGCCTGCCCCTGAAGAAGAGAAATTTTTGCTATATTAATTCTTCACAACTGTACAGAGAAATTCTGCTTGTAGGAGCTGGATGGGCCATGCAGTGCTTGGCAGTCCTGAGGGGGTGTGGAGGGATTGGTGATGTACTCCAGCACACGTCTATTTATCTTTTGTTAGACAGTGCTCAGACTAACAAAAAGGTCTGCAATTTCCACTGAGATAAATGATCCTGGGGAACATCTTCCTGAAAATGAGATCCACGTCCTTTATAAACCCTTTACCAGCTCAGAGCTGTTCATCTCAGTTGTCCCGAGGAAAGATATTCCCAAAGGAAAAAAAAATAACTAAGCATTTTCAACAAATTCTAGTTGAAAACATCACGTTGTGATGGTCAGGATAGGTTTCAAATGCATGCAACTTGCCCCAGAATAGAGAATGCCGTCCCAGATTACAGACAAATCCCAACCCAGGGACCCACTGAAGGAGCTGACGCAGCCCTCGCTGCCGGGGGGAGGAGAGAACTGCATCTGTTACTGGATCTCAGCTCTTCTGCAGGCCCTGTAGACCAGAACTGCAGCCAGAAAAGTCAAGCTCATGTATATGCATGACACAGAAACAAATTTCCATCTGGCTTCTCAGTTTCAAGAATGTCTATTTTCAAAGACAAAATGAACGCACAAGGTAAATATCACATCCGGACCCAGGGCATAAATAAGTTTGTAACTGGTAGTGATTGGGGTAAGACCTTCATAGAGGTGTTTGACCCACTGTTGGCCAGTCCCAGTTGAAAACAGAGATGTTTTCCTGGCGGCTCATGCACCATTGGTCAGCTCGTGTCCCCAGCCCAGAAAGGTTAGCTCATGTTTTTCTCACCCTTGTGACTTTGAATTATTTCAGTTCTCCATTTCAGTTCTCCATATTCTATTTAGATTTTTATCTTTCATCTGTCCTTGCAGTTTCCTTTTCAACTTCTACCACTACTTCTACATGCTGACAAACGTCCTCTTCTACGTCAGTTCGGCAATCAACCCCATCCTCTACAACCTGGTGTCTGCAAACTTCCGACAGATCTTCCTCTCTACACTCACAATCCTGTGCCTGCCGTGGAGGAAGAAGAAGAAGCGACTGGCCTTCACCAGGAAATCCAACAGCATCTCCAGCAACCACACGTTTTCCAGCCAGGTCACAAGGGAAACGACATACTGAAGCCAAAGGCGGAAGGGAAACGCATTTCATCATGGAGTCAAATCTTGAGAGAGGCCTCTGTGACTTTCATGCATGGTCTCCAAATTTACATAACACAAGTGTGTTTAACAAAGTCATTTTTGTTGGAAAAATAGGCTTTGTGTTGCCAGTAACTTTGAGGTTATTTTAAAGCATTGGCCTTGCCTCTTGTGAGTAATGTCTACATGTTTTGTAACTTCAGTCTGGCATAAATCCAGGTGCGGTGTTAACTGGGAAGCCAAAATATGTTAAACTTAGGCAAAACCATACTGCATTTCATCCTTTTCTCAGTGCAGAGATGCCATGGGTTTGAGATCACGTCTCTTGGTGGCACTGAGCAGAGAGTCTGATGAGGAGAAAGCGGTTTTGAACAGAAAGGGATGTTTTTGGAGAATGGACATGCTCATCCATGGGATGTCCAATGAACAAGGAGTGAAAACTCAGGGAGCCAGGTGGTTATTTTAGAAATATATCTAAATTATGATTAATATGAACTAGGTGCTCAAGAGAGCCGTTCTGGCTCCTTGAAATTAAATAACAACAGATGATGCCTTACCTAGATTGGGGTGGCTGTGGCCTGGGAAAATGGGGGTCACCTTTTACTTTAAGGCATATATAGTGCCTGGCACAGTGAACCCCCTCTCTTGCTGGTATTGGTACTGCAACGCAAATAAATCGACTCAGAAGTCTCTAGCAAAGTCAAGAATGCAGAAACTGTGCCCAACTGGAGTGCTGATAATGAACAGAAATGGAAAATCTTACTGTTGCCATACAGCCAAATCCTATTTTTGACCAGAGAGAACAGTTAGCTGCCCCGCATTGAGGTGAGAAAACTCCAGGCTTATGAGGGCTCCAGCCTGCTCAGATAAGAGCAACCTGCCCCAATTCTGTGGGACCTTCAGATTTTTCCCATTCTTATTCCAGTTTTACTTGTTTCCTCACCATTTTCACAAGACTGACGTCTCATAGGTTATATCAGTTCTAGGCAGCAGGGCCTCCTGTTCTTCCTTTTCTTTTATTTCTTTTTGCTACGAGACCTGTTGGCACTCTGGTCTGTACCCACGAATCTTCAGATAGTGCAAAGGAAGAACACAAGAAGGTCTAAACTGGGGAGTCTTAGCTCTAAAACAATTTTCTTTTAACAAGCCAGAGGAACAGAAACAAGACCTGAAAATTCTCTTTGAAATTTCTCAGCTGGCCAGGATAGGTAGCGTGAGCTTTTCTCCCATATGGTTCCACCTCTAACAGCCCACTATGTGATGCAGCAAATTGCTCCAGAGCCTTTAGCACCAGAAATCACAGACCTCTGGGACAAGCTAAAGGCCTTTCCCCGCTGTCACATCACCAGATGGTGACCTGCACGAAGCTGGAACCAACCAATCATCCTGTGGAACCTCTGCTGTAATTTCGCTGGCGGTGACCTTGCGTCCCCTTTCACCCGACACTTCACTAGGAGAGCAGGGCTTGCCTTTTTATGGTGACAACCTAGAAGAGTCGCTTGACTCAGTTCAGCTTTCCGGGCTTTGCCCATACCCTGTCACTCTGTGGCTAACGAGCAGCCTTGGTACACAACAGAAGTCTCAGTGCTGAAGATGTGGATCTGGCCCCAGTGAACCGTCACACAGTGGTGGAGACCAGTTACTGATCCATTGCTCACCAGTGACTTCTCCTGCTACAGACGTGGTAGCTCATGCGTTAGGGCCTGTTGGGCTTGGGGCATAGAGAAAACACCTGTGAAGCATTTGCTGTGAGTTGTGAGTGATGGCTGTCTACTTCCACGGCATTTATAACCTGGCAGTTGTACAGAGCTAGGTACCATGGCAGACCATCAGCCATGATGTCCAACCCACCTACCAGGGATGGGAGATTATTTTAATTCCTGGTACAGAACCACTCCAAAAGAAAGGGCTCAAAATAGAAATCAGTGGGGCTTTAGTTTCTTCTGATTCAGCCAAACAGCAAGCTCTATCCTGTCATGCCTTCTTTTAATTTCTTGCCCTGGTTGTACCAAACAACAAAAAAGAGGGCAGAGATTATATTTGACAAAGCACTTTTGTTGCTCATGCACAGTTGACTCCTCTTTGGCAAGAAAAACAGGTAATGGCACACACAAAACAAAAAAAAAAACCAAAGGCAAAAAGGAGACTGGTCTCTTTGGAAGGAAATCTGTGAGGAACCAGCAAATGCTGTCTATGTGTGTGTGTTAGAAATGGCTTGGGTGGGTTGAAGGAAGAAGCTCTAGAAGACTTGTATGTACTGCCTTGTGGGAAAGCCCAGGTATGATGAGCAGAGGAAGAGGAGTCTGAATGTCACACACTCAACATTGGCCTTCCAGGCAAGAGACTTTCAACGTTTCTGGAGAGGACGCAAATTTTTTAGCTTCAGCTCTGAATAGAGTCAACAGCTGGGAGGCGGTTTCTGAAACCTCCCACGGAAGCTGTAACTGCGTGTTGCTTTGACTTTCATTAGGATTTAACATCCTGCGTGTCTCAGATGCTTTTGAAATGTTAAACATTATTAATATACTTGTTCGACACCAACCTGCTGAAGTGTGCTTGATTATCTTAAAAAACACTGTAAAAAATTGTTGTTTCACATAAGATGCTTGGCTTAGATTTTCATGGCTGAGATACACTGGCAGCTGACAGAATATTTGATCACAGCTCCGAGAAACTGGTAGGTTTATTTTTGGTTTGACATGAAAACGGGAATAAGCTGGAGTAAAAATGAACTTACCATAAACTCTTTCCGCAAGGTTTGTCAGGCCGCTCGAGTCCTGAAGAGCTGAGTATTTGGAGGGATTTATCCAAGCGGTTTGCTGGCTTCTACAGATCTGTTCCTGCAGCTTAACGTGGGAGCAGACCTGAGTCTACAGCCTTAATGTGAGATTGCAGCTCAAAGCTACCTCCTCCACTGGCCAAATCTGACTACCTTGAGCTGAGAAGTGTAAGTTACAGCTGATTTCATCCTCTCTCCCCTCCTCACCCAGTTCTGCTGTATTCGACCTAGGGATTTAGTTCCCTTGAGCTCAAAGAAGTGGGGATAACTCATTGCAAGACCCCATGGTTTTGTAAAGGAAAGCATGATACCGTCGAGAAGAAAAAGGTACAAACTGCCCAGTATATACCAGAAAAATGGGGTTTTCCATGCCTTTTAACAACGGCTGAACTACTAACCCAACAAGGTTTAGCTTTAAACCTAATAGAGCGTAAGTGGCTTTTGCCATTAAACAAAACACATACTCCATATTCCTGTCTTGTCTGAGCTCTTCACTGGGGCAGAGGTGAGCGTCGGTGCAGCGCGCTGTTAATCTGTGCAAATTTCCCGTAAGTGTTTTGAACTGTTTGTTTCAACTAAAAAAAAATAAAAAATCTGTGGAACCCACAGATGCAAAGTGCTGCCAGAAGGATTCTGAGAAATTCCCCTCCGAAGAGAGTCTATCTAGTGACCTCTTCAAACATTATTTGGAGGTTTTTGTTTCTCTTCACAGTGTTCTTGTCAGGGCCAGCCGTTTGGCAGTGTGTGAAATCAGATTTACAAAGGCTATTCGGAAATTTCCCCCAAACAGGACTTTCTCACCGAAGCCCCAGTACGCATCAGTGCGGGAACGCTCTGCCGAGCTCGCTTTTTTTTGCAATGCGCATGAGACCTCGCTTCAGCGACGGCGCCCGTAAAGGAGAAAATTAAATGGAAAAGTTGGTGAGGAGGCTTAGCAGGACCCGTGCTGTAAGCATGACGATAGCAGGACCTTTGCATTTATAGCATCAAACGTTTAGCGAAAGAGAGCTCGTGTCGCAGGTTTGAACCCATCCTCGGTGCGGCTGCGATGGGTACGTGCCCCCGGGGAGGGACGGGTGTCCACAGGGCAGGAGAGCGCTGGAGCTTTCCTGCGCAACGCCTCAAGTCTCAGCCCGGCATCTTCCCGGCCGTGATGTTCAGTAGCTGTTTAAACAAAGCTGTATCCGCTTGAGCTCTGTCCGGTTCTTAACATTACAGCTCAACAAGTTCTGCTGTTCTCAGTCTGGATCCGTTTCGTAGCAAAACAGAAACTGCTAATCCAAAATTTCATGATGCTGTGTCCTGGCTTTGTGATCAAGAGTCCTTCCCCAGCCCTGCCACCTCGTAGTCCTGCACATATTGCATTTATGGCAGTTATTTTTTAAAGTGCACCTTTTTTTCTTCTTTTTTTTCTGAAATACAAAATGTTGATGTGCTTTATTTTCTGTGGCCTGTTGCGCAATGGGAAAAAAAAAAATGAATGTTAAAAGTGTGTCAGCGTCTCCTTTGTAATATTTTCTGTGACAAAGGGAAGGAAGAGGGTGTGGAATCCTTTTGTGTAGCAATGGGAAACACTCTTTTTTTCATGCTATTATTGACACTGTATTTACTGATCAAACTGTAATGAAATGGTTACTTCCTGATATAGCCTTTGTACCATATGGCATTCTATTTTATTTTTTATTTTGTTTTGACATTTATTGATCCTAAGAAATAAATATCCATATTTAAGGCTTGGGCTGGTTATGTTTGAGATGACAGCTGTGCCTTTATCATACAGGCTGCTTATCATCACAGGCTATCTGGTTGAGGTCTAAACTGGCGAAATCCCACCAACCTCCTGAAAGGAGGGTGTAGCGAGGGGGGGGCAGTCTCTTCTCCAAGTAACAAGTGATGGGAGGAGAGGAAATGGCCTCAAGTTGCGACAGGGGAGGTTTAGGATGGATATTAGGAAAAATTTCTTCACCAAAGGGGTTATCAAGCACTGGAACCGGCTGCCCGGGGCAGTGGTGGAGTCGCCATCCCTGGAGGTATTTAAAAGATGGGCAGATGTGGTGCTTAGTGGTGGGTTTGGCAGTGGTGGGACATGGCTTAGTGGTGGGTTTGCCAGTGTTGGGTTGATGGTTGGACTCGATGATCTTAAAGGTCCCTTCCAACCTAGACAATTCTGTGATTCCATGATTCTATGACCTTGAGCTGACCTT